TTGTTTATGAAGCCAATCAGGTACATGTTCAACTAGCCTTAGCTGCATATCACTATTACTCCTCCCTATGTAGATGTGTACACACATACATGCAAAGTGATAAACACAATGGGATGTGATGCGATCGTTTAGATGCTGTTTTGGTTTGTGTTGTCTTCTCTACGATGATGACCTTGCCTGCTTAATGTTTTACAGATTGCTGGTCTAACCCGTTTCCTCTCAATAAAGCCATATGAATCACCTCTAGAGGGTAATGAAACGTAGGCATTTTTCTCAGGAACGGAATATTGCATACTTTTCAGCGCTACATAACTTCTGCACCTGTTGATGAATTTCAGCGGGTTGCCATTATGTATCAGTGTTGTAGTCAGTAACTTGGTTTCCTCCTCTTTCGTGTCATCGATGCGAATGCGGTTTATCCTGTTGAATAAGCACCTAACTAAACCACGTGGGCAGTAGCTATGAGAACCAAGATATCGCCTTGTCCATGTAGGCTTCCTATAGACGAATCTTCTTATCAAACCATCCTCCCATCGATTAAGGATGTTACCTGGTTGTTCATCTCTTGTTCACAAGTAAGACTAATGTGATTTTGAGCCGTTCTTATCTTCCCTAGCAGGCACATCGCATCGTCAGGCTTTTCACATATAATATATATCATCGACATATCTCTTATAGAGTGAAACTCTTCCAATGAGATAGATGGTCAACCATGTTTTCAATATATGATATGTATACATCGGCTAGCAACGGTCCTAATGGATTACCCATCGAGACGCCATCAATCTGTCGAATGTGAATTTAACTTTGTAATAGTAACATAGTAATAATAATAATAATAAATCCTTTAAAAAATTAAGAGGGATACGGAGTATAAGACTGTTAGAAAAAATATAGTCACATAAAATACCAATTGTTTTTACCAGCACACATTAGTATTCAAAGAATTTACATCGGAGGAGTACGCAGTCCCATCCTTGATGTTAATATCACTTAAACATTCAATAAGGCCAAATGCATCTTTCAATGACGACTTGCATAAATGGCTCTCGACAGGATTCAAGATCTTTGCCAATCTATGTTTTCTATTGCCTTAAGTGACCCTTTTTGTAAATTTCCATATAAATAGTTCGACAAGTTCCTTGGTGATCAGATTGTTCAAGATGTATAGCACAAACACATCACACGTTTCAGATAATCTTCGTCTTCCCATTACGCAGTTTTAATTTTTAAAGGGACCAATCGCTTTAAGTCGGTATAAATTGTGTGACAAAGTGAAGTTACGTAAGGTCTCTGGGGTTTAGATGGGGAAGTGGAAAAGACGATAATTCATTTCGTAGACCGTTTTAAAGAAGTCCTACGTGGAACGGATGGTTTATTCACTTTCAAAGTTCAGCCCCCTCTTATGCATTCAGTTTCCTCGAGGATTAGAAGAATGTGTACTGAAGACATTGTTGGTGGCGAACTACAAAATCTTTGTCGGACTCTAGTGGAAAATGCCTCAGATTCATATGTAAGAACATAAAGCCAAAGAACCCAACTGAAAGAACACACTTGGCGCCGACAAAGATTCTTTTCAAGTTGGCATTCTTTCGTTGAATCTTGAATTCAGAAATGATATTGCTGCAGAAATCCCCAGGAAGTGACTATCAAACAGAATAGAACATAGAACATACTTCGCCGCCAACCTTTTCTCCTGCAAGAAACTTTTTGGTCAATGTGTGAAAGACAAGCCGACGCACTGGGCACATCAACGTATGTATACCAGTTCACTTGCTCCTGTGGAACTGAGTACATCTGCCGTACCATCAGTTCACTTGCGACACGTGCCCGAAAATACTGGCCAGCCTGGCTGGGAAAATGTGTATCTCTAGTTCAATAACAGAACACCTTGTGAACTCAAGCCACTTAGCTTCTTTTCAGAGCTCATTCAAAATCCCCTACAGGGTTCGATCAAAGCACTTGAAGGGAGTAAGATCAAGGGATGTCTATAGCTGAAGCACTGGCCATCCAGAAGCTCAGACCAGCGTTATGTATCCAGAAAAGGCACGTCCAACCTTTATCTTTGCAATGGCAACCATAAAGCCTTGACTGTCATAGATTCGTCATGTATTAGGTAACTATACATATATATATCTATCTTCATGATCCCTTATTTACTCTCCCACCCTATCAGATTTTTAACCAGCACTATGTAACTGAGGTCTTATTGTCATAATCCTGTTTATTTTCCCACTCTAAATCCAAATGTGTATTAATTAACTTCCTTCAGTTATTCAGTAGATTTTGCCCCGTAACCGAAAACAATTCTGGAACGTTCTGCCTACTGTAACGTGTTCATGAATGTGCAGCTTAGTAAGTGACTTCATCGAAAAGAAAAGATTTTCTTCGCTGCAACCGCGTTTTGTCTTATGATCAAATAGAAAAATATAATAACAAAATAAAATCATCTAGTGAGAGACCCCCTACGATGGCTATGGCAAAAAAGAGACTGTACATACATAATGATGGTTTGAACTTTTGAATTGCTGATGCTTCAGCCTTGTTCAGATGTCTCAACCTTATTCCGTTTCAGTGGCTTGGTCATGCTGTGTACAGAGTTTTAAAGGACTTATCAAAAGGAGCCAAATGTCCTCAGTTTACTAAGTGTTCAGATACAAAACTGAAGATACATTTTCGCTCTCTCCTTGTCAGTCACCGTCGGTAGTGTTTGCGAGCGCGTTGTATAAGCTGCCCCGTGGAATGTTTCATCCTTCCTACCATATATTCAAAAATGTACAGCTAAGAGTATGATTTCGTCGAAAAGAAGAATTTTTCTTCGCTGCAATCCTCTTCTCTTTTTGCGTTTTTGAAGAGGTGAGTGGAAAGTAAAATTTATAAAACTGTCAACCTATTGAGATTGCTAGACGTATGCGAAGTAGTCTTTGATTCCGGAGTTACACTCATCTCGATAATGCAGTAATTAGTTAGTTGATTCAATCAAGACACCAAACAGATGTATATTCTTTGTAGTAGTCAACAAACAAAAATTTCAAGTTTAGTTCTGCAGCCACCGTCATCAAGCATATTCAGAATCACTTGTATGCTCAGAAAAGCTGCTGCTCATCTCTTGCTACAATTAAAATCTGAGACTTTCCGAATTCATCCTTTTTCCTGAACGCACAACTTTATTTCCCCGTTTACTCCTGGTTAGTGATATTACGAAATCATATGTAGTTAGGTCAACATTCCTTAAAACAGTGGAGGAAATTGGTCTTCTGGTCTTGAGAAAGTGTATCCACTCTCTCAAAAAACATACCATTTAAAATTTCCTGATTATTATACTGTCCTTATTTCTGAAATATGAACTCAAGTATGTTCATAAGGGAAATATGTTTGTAAAATCCTCGTGGAAGTCACCTCTTCAGAGAATTACACCTGCTTAAGTTATCGCATTTTTAAATAACAAATGGAGACAAATCAGATCACATTGTTCATAAATGATAATGATATATGTGCATATGTAAATGGGTTTGACGGTGTGTTTGTGTAGCGAGAATTGTTTCGCGTTCCAGGTGTGGTTTGACATTCAAGATTTAGAATCACGGGAAGTAATCAGAAAGTCTCGTAATAAGTAGCTCATTGTCTTGTTGATAAACATGTACTTTTTTTTATTTCGGTAAGTTAAAAACCAAAACTTCTATGTATGGTATGCGTATCTCCTGACTATCGTTTTGTCTTCCAATAACAACTGGATTTCAATGAAAAACCTATAAGAAAGCCGTGCGTAAATAATCTCAGGTAGCTGTCATCAGTGTCATCTGGAAAGGCTCTAAGATTATTAAAATCACGTCAGATATGCCGTCCAGTTTCAAGGACTTGAAACTTCATCACTTCTTAACTGCATGAATTTAACTCAATTAAGCATAGGTGTGCACAAGTCAAATCTTTCTGAAGATTCAAACAACTAATACAATAATTATCCATTACGTATCAAAGATGTGGTGCCCTATCGTCTCATAACCACATTCTTCACAAATCATATTACTTTTGGAGAATGACTTTCAGGAAAGTTGATGAATGAAATCGTGCAGCTCCCACAGAAGACAATACAAAACATATTATCCACTGTTCTGATAAACATATTTATGTTATATTAGATAGTAAAGCTGGAGTATATATGACAATGTTTTTTCTTTTCCGAGGAAACTGTTAGCTAGAATCACAATCATAACAAAGAGAGAAAAAGCATAGAGAATGACTTGCATAGTGGACAGAAGCTAAAAAGGAAAGAAATGGAGTTTGTGAAGACGGATTTCACAAAACACAAAAAACTGTACAACTACGCAGCATACATTATGAACAATAAGATAAACTGGCATGTAAAATAAATAAGTGGACAAGCAAATAAGTCAAGGAGACTAGTAAACATGAACGGTCATAACGAAAAAATCTCAGGGTCAATTGACGTTAATAGATTTGTGCGCAAGGAATAGACACAATGTGAGTAGTAGGTAGTATGAAAGGTGATGTCAAAGAAAAAAACATTATTGAATGGACACAGCCATAAATTTTCTTCCAAAACAAGATGTTTTGCAATCAAACGAACAAGCCAAATGAGAGCAAATAAGTTAGAGCAAATATCGGAAGAAGACGCACTAGACACGGAAAAATAAGGGGGGTTTGACCTAATTGTTTCTAAATTGAAATCCAGGTAGTTCAAAACAGAGAAAGGTTAGGCAATTTTGGAATAAAACGAAATAAGAAATCGGAAGAACGTAATAAGTAGTAAGCAGTTAATAGGTCATATACAACGTTTGTATGTAGAAAACATTCTGTATTCGTTCAGCATTTTGAAAATGTTTTCCAAAGGGAGTAACCACTGAAAGAAAGAAATGAACTCTAGGATAGATTAATTTTGTTTTGAAACGCCCCAGGTAACCGATAAACCTTACAGAATATCTGAAAAGCGTGTAAGTTAATCATCCGGAGTTGATGAAAGCGATGAACGAAGCTGATGGTCAATAAACATTTAATTTTCCACCATGCTGATTAAGGAAGAGATCGATTAAAAATATTTTGCTGGCAGGGGCAACATTACTAGTTGACTGGATTGATATTGGGTGTGAAAGTATCACGGCAGGTAGGCATGGAGACATAATAGTAGCAGTTGGACCGGATAAGAATGGAGTGGGACCTAGAGAGTTAACTGTAGGGTTAGGTGGTTGCACAGACTGTATTGACTGGAAACCGAAGTGACTGGAGACAGGTACATTATTAGGAATTTGCATAGACGGTGCCGATCTAGCCACTGGATGAGGAAAACATCGAAATTCACTTGTGTTATTTGCGTGTGTTGTTATCACAGTTGCAGTAGGCAAAATGGGCAAACTGATGGACGGTCGGTCAGTAAGATCTGTGTGTTGATCAAATGAATTATGCTGTACCCAGTTAACGGGTCGTGTTGGAGTCTGAGAGTTAACAGGATGCTGATTACGATCCTGGACGAAAAGTATGGGGACTTCATTGCTGATGACTGAAGGTCCTGGAGTTAACAGTGAGAGATTGAGCTGAGAATGGGATACAGGTTGTTTGTAATTAAGAACAGTGGGGACTGCTGCACGAGGTGGGCAAGAGATTGAATTAGCTGACGGAGGAACGACCAACTTCGAGTGGGATGATACTGATTTTACAACATGAAGTAAAGATGGTCTTTCACTACTGGCTTCAGAAACTTTGGGGTGAGAAATCAAAATGTTCAAAGGAAATGATGGCCCGTTCGATGCAGATACATTAATAGATTTCGAGTAAACCAGAGAGCGCGGTATTTGAAGGTCAGAGGAAGTCTTCACAACTTTGGGAAACGCTACATCATTGCATGTGGTCATATAGAAGTTACTGTGTCGGTATGAATCAGTAGCTGAAGTGTTGCCCGATAGACAGCTTTTCTCAATAGAACATGTCGACGATGGAACATCGTTCAAAACAATAGATGAAGAAGTAGAACTAGATGGACTTCCTGTACTTGGTGTTCCTGAATTTGATACCAGTGATACGTTACCTGCCCAAGACGTCTGGGAAGTATGCGAGACAGAAACTGAAGATTTTGTTGAAGCACATGACGGTATGGCTTCAGATGAACATGTAACGGGTGCTCTGCACAAGAACATTTGAGATTTGTTAGCACCAGGGATAAGTAAAAACTGCTGCTGAGTAATGGTAGCTTTCGGGTTTAAACTCTGAAGAAATGCAACAGCTTCTGATAAATTATCACCATCAACAAAGAATGCACGGGTTGTAGTTGAGGAACGATTCTGGCGTGAATTGGAAGTCAGTAACTTCGTAACACTTGAAACAGATGTTAATGGACTGATGGAAATCGTGTCAAGAGATGGAACAGATTTCATTGTTGCTTGCACCGAAGTTACAGATTCTACGAATGTAGAGAGTGTTTGGCAAACTGATTTAAATGGAGTTAAGGATTCTGGAACTCCGTGATTTATGCTAACAGTGGGGCTGCCGTTACTCGGAACTGTATTATTTAAGTTTTGGGTGAAATGTGAATCAGGTAATACTGAACTGCTAGGTCGGATGCTAGAAGGTACTGTACACTTGCCGGTAAACACAGGAGACGGATATGAACCAACGGAAACCACCGGGCTGACTTGAGATGTACGTAAAGAAGCAGAGGAATTAAAACATGGTCCCGGAGAAGGGAAAGATGGGCCTGATTGGTGCAAGTAATTCGTAAAATTTTGTCCCGATTGCGGATTTGAAGGAGTGGGAGGTGCAGATACACTCTGCTCCAATCGATACGTTTGAGACGGATGTATAGGACTAGGCGAGTGTGAAGAGAGAGAATGTTGCAAATTGATATTCATATTCGAGTTAGTCAGATGAGGTGAAGATGGATATGACTGTGCGAAGCTGTTAGAATAGCAAGTATAGTTATCGAGGTTGTTACTAGTACTTGTAGTTTCTACAGATGTACTATTAAGAGGAAGCAGTGGAGACATAACATCAATACTCGGAGCTGAATGTGGAGAACGCGGGCTTTCAGATGCTAAATTTGATGCAACTAGTTCTTGAGTTTCGCTAAGTAAGGAGGAGAGATTAACAGACTGCATATTTCTATCGTTCACCGGTGATGACATAGGAGTACCAGCTGAAGGAGATGTAACACACACAGATTGTTTATTGTCAATTTCACTCAAAGGTAGGAAGTTGACACATGTAGAGTAATTACGATTTTGAAAGTAACCACTTGAACCACTCGCAGGATGTGGAGTCATACTACCCGGTAGACCATAGAAACGCTGACTTATAATACCACGCTCAGATTCCTTTAACATACGTTTTGCTCGCAGTTTTTCCCTCATAGCAGCCAAAGTTTTTGTTTGCCTGGGTGGAGGCATAGAAGGTGACGCAGTAGAACTATTGGGATTAGAGGAACGCGATGGTCGTGCAGATCGTGAGGTACTAGCGCTGCTTTGTTTGCCAGATGTAGAATTGACTAGCTTTGAATCGAGTGAAAGTCGACGCGCATGAGTCTGGAAAAATCAAAATGTCACAAATCAGATTAACGGATATAAATTTTGGGACTGATCTATTAGGAAAAGATCCCCTTCTAGGCTGAGCATTTAAACAAGCACGTCAATATCAAAAGTGGTGTTACTATACATCCATGAACATGAAGTTTATAATAACAGGCTAGACAACTTGGTTTCTTTATTCAACATTTTTGTGCAATAAACTATTTATATCCACTTAAATGAAAACAACAAGACCCCTTTGACTGTAATGGAACAATTTTAAAAAGAATGAGATGAAAATCAAAAAACCGTAACTTAACTGCATTAAAGTTGAAGTAAAATAAGTAACTTGACGTCTGGTATTCTAGCTTTCTTAAAATAACAGTATGGAATGAATTCAGTCTTGATATCGTGACTAGTTTTCAACAGTTATGATTTCCAAATCCTACTAGTGAAGTACGGTTTTCTACGTAGATGCTTTCGACTTTGAACACACGAGTGACAATACCTGACTGAGTGGAAACGTCAAGGTGTAGTATTTTAGTATTCTAAACGAAAATCCTGAAGTGATATGTATCAGTGACTGATCAGATTTAAAACGCAGTACTCAGATGTGTGATTCGCTGAGATAGGTAGATCAGCTGCTGATACAGGTAATTTACATAAATTGAATTTACCCATTGAGAAATGCTGAAAAATAGGTACTAAATAAAAGAAGAAACGAGATATCGGGACCAGTTATTAAATAAAAGCTGACTACCTAAATTTATATGCATAGATAAATAATTGTTTAGTAACGACGTGCAAAGAAGTCGAGAAAACGTTGGAGAAGCGAACATGTTAACTATATTTTACAGAATTATACATTTGTTACGAAGTTGTTATGTTCTCAAAAGTTTTCCACAAGTGAAGCATTTCTAATTTCTAAAAAAGATTATGCAGTTTGAGATCAGTCAAAAAAGATAACAAAGAAAGGTTTTTGAGTGTAGTTGAAGTGCTGACTACCTTATGCATCCCTTCCTCCTGCATTTTTCAGTAAACTTCATACATGGGTTCATTTACGAATTCAAGTAGAGCAATCAGAACAAATTCGCAGCTAGCACTTTGCCTCATTGTTTTCACTTCACTTGGTTACAGGCTAATAATAGTAAATCAATAAACCCGACAAAGATTTATATACTTCCGTGATTTACTGAAGAGTAGTAAAGTGAGAAACACATAGTTGAACGTTAGGAAGCTATAGATGAAGGCTAGATGATAAGTTTACGACAAAGAAACCAACAGTGAGTTTTGTAGCTTCTACTAGACAAACTGTAAAAGAGGATTAAGACACTAAACCGTGGGGGAGAAACTTTCACCGAATGTTTAGCAATTAAATCAGCGAAGAAACGGAGGTTTATCCGGTTAGCATTCAAAGAAGATCAGGTAATGACAAAATGTAATCAAAGATTGAGGGCTGCACTCAATAAAATCCACTCTAAGTTAGGGAAGATAAGGTGTTTAATAATGCAAACAAAAGTAAACAAATAATCAGGTCATCTCAAATCGATTTAGCTGATTAATTGGTAGTTGTCAAAGTAAATACATTATAATGAGAGAGAGAGACACGCTGTTGGTCACTTTTATGAACATATTCTAAGGAACCTAACCGAATAACCGAATAGCACTTAAAGCTCAGTCAATCGCTATTTGTTTGAAGCAGAATATGACGTTCAAACCAAAAATATCTTCAGAATCACCTATAAGCAGTTAAATTTCCCTTTGCTTCAGTTAGTAGAATTCGACTCAGTTGTTAACCTCCGTGAGAAGCTTTGAGATTTGTCATACTCTCCCTCTCTCCTTTTCTGAAAAGTCAGTTTTTACTCAATTTTACTGCCATTTTATATTCATGATCGTCTTCTTGTTTACTTACGTAGCTGATTAGTACTCTATTTCCACAATTGTCATCCTGACTTCATGCATAGATTGTCTACATTTAACTTCTTTAATCCAGTCTTACACTTCAGGCTTTTAAACTATTCTTTAGTGAGATATAGGCTCTAAATTTCGAATAAATCCAACTTTTGTCCGTTTTATTAACTCACTACTAATAACCTGTAGGCAGCTGAAGAAAAAGTAACAACGTAAGATGTATGCTGCGAAATTCGTTCATATTTCTCTATTTAATAAAATGAGCAACCTACAACTTTTTTAGATATTTAGGGCACGCAATGAAACTACTTACCGACAACAGCTTCAGAGTGTCAAATTTGATGGTGTAAAAACAGCTAAAAATGCACCAGTCGAATCACGAAACAAAGTACTGGATTATGGCCATCAGAAACTCCAAGCACTTATGGCAGAATTATAAAGCTTCTTAAGTTGTTTCTGAATAAAAATCTACAGATATGAAGTGTGACACTTCAGTTACTAGGTCTATACAACCATATATCGAAACTGACATCAATTACTTGGGAGGTAAAAGCACCTAGTTCTTCAGCACTTAATTCTGGTACTCCATTCAAATCTACACACTGAAATGTGATTTTCATTTCGTAATTTCTGGACAAGAAGACGGGTACAAACGGTGATAACCAAAGCAAATTTTGAAAGATTTAACAGATAGTGATTAAGACGAAGGGGAAAATAGAGACTTTAAGGAATGAGATAATAGTAGTTTCTTCGCTAGTAAACCAAAGACCTTTAGGACTTGTGGAATTGAAATGTGAAAAAAAAAACTCAGGTACGGGAAAATGTGCAGTAGGAAAACTATTGTAGAAAATTACTAGCAGACAGGTAAGCATCCTCCTTTAAGCTTCCTTCCTCTATTCTTTCGAATTTGAATTTAGTTGTACAGAACAACATTCACTTAGAATATAATTTTGTGACTATCCCCATCATCAATACCAACATAGGATCAGGCACTACTGCATAACGATTCAAGTTGCCAAACCTCATACCAGCACAACAAGTAACAAAGTAGTACGATGGGGAAAAAAGAAAAATCAGACGATGGCAGTAAAAGAGAGAAAGTGAGAAAATGTGGAATTCAGAATAACGATCAATATGAAGAAAAACTGTGGAAATCTTCGGAATACCTGAACTTTTTCATATCCTCTACCTTTTATGGTCATGTTTTACAAGCATATAATGCAATACTGTGTACTATAGCGCCGTAGACTCGACCGTCAGGGACAATCAAATACCACGGTGATGCCATAAGTGGCGCGAGTCGGCAAAAACCAAGTAAGCCTTTTGTATCCGTACAGAGATTTCATAGGTCACTGAACCGCCAGGACTGATCCAACTTCCCAGTTAAGTATGGTGGTCAGCGCCCTCAACAAATTCTCTCTTTATTATTAGACAGGACATCACTGAAGACCGATCTTGGAGCAGCAACTTGCGTTTGCGTGGCGAGAAGCACATCTCCAGCATTTCCAAATTGGCACTTAAGCTGTCCAGGAGACTGCATTTTGTCAGCGTCTACACATAACAGGAATATATATCATCTACGTAGTCTAGATCTACCGAGGATGCTCCTGTGATAATATCAATCCCTGTAAAGTCAGTCGACCCTGGGGATACCTCCATAGGTACGTCTACGGGATAGTTGGATGAGAATAGAGAATGGACATCATTGATGGACACCAGTCGATGAACATAACACACCTGATAACTCACCATAGACTCCATACACCCACTCGCGCTCCAGAAGAGTCTCCAACAGGGTGATGTACTTACTCGGCACCTCTTTCAGTGAGAGATTATCATGAGACTTTTCGATAGACGAAATTGAATGCCGCGTTCAGGTCGAGTAATACAGCTAGTGTCGGGCGTCGGCAAATGTGTCTGAATATCTCGTCCATACACCCACAGCCCGGTCTGGGGCCTTCCTGGTGTCCTCAGATTTCCCGTTCCCAAGCTCCACTTAAACATCTTATGATAATAGAACTTCGAGTCCTAGACACTTTTTGTCAGGCTGATTCCCCCGTGGTTATCACAACAGGATAAGCTCACCTTTCTTGAGGAATGGGGCAATCAGTGATTGAGACCCGCCAGAGTGGGGTCATATATGACCTCCACACACTAGCTAACACCAATTAATTTGACTAAGGATCCTTTACCATTGTCCTCAAATACCTCTGGTACTGGTACGTCTGGTCCTACTGCTCCTTCTCGTTCCAAATTGTTTACAACTTTCTCAACTTCTGTGAGTGATGGGGATTTTATCTGGATGTTGCATTCGGGATCCGACTGGATAGCGCAAAACAGAATAGAAGCTGAAAGCCAGCTGAATTGTCCCTTTAATTCTTCTGTCCATCGTTCCAGTCGTCTCTCCTATGAGTGAATCAAATATCCATCCTTCTCGGCCATCGTCTCACTAACCACTGACCTTTTCGCCTCAGTGTCTTCAATGAGTTTAAATAACTGTCTACTGCAACCTGTCGTCGCTGACGTTCCCATCTCTTTGCGGTTACTGCGTAGACCTTTTGTCAGTCTACACTTCAGTTTCTTTTGATTCTCATTGTGCTCGAAGCCTGCAAGGAAGCGTTTGCATGCACTCATTAATTGAGCTGTTGTGATTCGTTGGCTCCCTTTAACCACTCTCTGAGAGTCAGCCACGGTCTGCCATTCGGTTTATACAGCGGACTGAGGATGGGGCTAAGATTCTACTGGATGAGTGATAGTGTTCAGTTCCATTAACTGTCGAGCCAGTTTCTTACCGAAAGCGACCTTAGTGCTCTGATTATTGGGCCCCACTCGCAATGATCGTGTTGCTATCTCCATAGTAATGAAGTAAGTAAATTGAAACACCTAACAAAAAGACCATTTGCGTTAAATTAAACAACGTGAATTACTCACTTTTATTATTAGTCAAGAATGACTGCTTTGTTCATACTATGGTGAGAGCTACTTAAAAGAACACATAAATAGCATGTATAGCAATACCGATAGTGATCGCGATCAACCGGTGAGGATTCAAATAAGGGAAACAAACAATATTGGATCAAAATGTGAGGAGTAAGAAGAGTGAGGGC